AGTCTTGGTTGGTTATATTAGCAGTTTATCCTTCTAGTTTGCTGGTGATTTTCCAGCTTTTGGTGAATTATATGGTGAATTCCTTCCAGCCAGAGCCTATCTGATATGTGCTGCTCTGTTTTTCCCTTACTATGTGATTAAATACCAACTATTTCTGGTCAAGTGACCCAATTTGATCTGGGGTCGAAAAATGCCCATTTTGGTTGGTGAAATCCCAATGTTTAATGGCTACGTGTCCTCTTGCCATAGCGCGGTGCTTATCTTCTCCCATTTTGATGGTCCCAAGTCCCAAAAGTAATATCCATGTCCAATCTCCCATTTATTCAAGACGTTGAAGAGCTGTTGATTTTTGGAGTCTCCGTAATATGGAGGATGCGATGCAGCGAAGGAATCAGTGGAGATCAGTTGAGCATATATCAATTTCCACCAGAACATATTAAGATATGTTAAAATGTCGGGTTCATAGGCTCTCTTCACACATCCCTAAATATCTCTAGATGCAAACAATGAAAGCGCAACTGGTATGAACTACGAACAACTCTTTTCGCTGCGGCCACATCTTTCACATTGTCATCCTGCTTCCTAAGCAAATCTAAAGGCTGTGATATAAGTCCAGCAATCAAAGTGGAGACATTGCGCAAGTTGATCCTGGACACTACAAATGTGCAATTCGGTCTTGGACCGCAGAGCTGTCACCACCATGTCCTGGGTTACCCCAAGTAACGACAGATCCATCTGCCAAGATGGCAGCAAATGCACGATCTGTGGCCTGAACCTGCTGCACATTCCTGAGCAGATCTTGCACCGCCGAGCTGTCACCACCATCTAATGGGTCACCCCAAGTAACGACAGATCCATCTGCCAAGATGGCAGCAAATGCGTGATCTGTGGCCTGAACCTGCTGCACATTCCTAAGCTGATCTTGGACCTCAGAGCTGTCATGTCTTGTGCTCCCCCAAGTAACGACAGATCCATCTGCCAGGATCGCAGCAAATGCACATATGTGGCCTGAACCTGCTACATTCCAAAGCTGATCTTGGACCGCAGAGCTGTCGCCACCATTTTTTGGGCTCCCCCAAGTAACGACAGATCCATCTGCAAGGATCGCAGCAAATGCACGATCTGTGGCCTGAACCTGCTGCACATTCCTGAGCTGATCTTGGACCGCAGAGCTGTCACCACCGTATCCTTGATAGCCCCATGTCACGACAGATCCATCTGCCAGGATCGCAGCAAATGCACTTTCTGTGGCCTGAACCTGCTGCACATTCTTGAGCTGATCTTGGACTGAAGAGCTGTCACCACCGTATCCTCGATTGCCCCATGTCACGACAGATCCATCTGCAAGGATCGCAGCAAATGCACGATCTGTGGCCTGAACCTGCTGCACATTCTTGAGCTGATCTTGGACTGAAGAGCTGTCGCCACCATTTTTTGGGCTCCCCCAAGTAACGACAGATCCATCTGCCAAGGTGGCAGCAAATGCACGATCTGTGGCCTGAACCTGCTGCACATTCCTGAGCTGATCTTGGACTGAAGAGCTGTCGCCACCATTTTTTGGGCTCCCCCAAGTAACGACAGATCCATCTGCCAAGGTGGCAGCAAATGCACGATCTGTGGCCTGAACCTGCTGCACGTTCTTGAGCTGATCTTGGACTGCAAAGCTGTCACCACCATCCCATGGGTCACCCCAAGTAACGACAGATCCATCTGCCAAGATGGCAGCAAATGCACGATCTGTGGCCTGAACCTGCTGCACATTCCAAAGCTGATCTTGGACCGCAGAGGTAATGTCACCACCGTGTTCTCGATCGCCCCAGGTAATGATCGTGTCACCTCCATAGCACCACATGGCAAAAGCTGCGCTGGTTGCAGCCATCTTTGCTTGTTGCACAACGGCTGTCAGGTGATCTCCCGCTTCGAGCACCACAGCTTGGAGGGATACGGATAGCATCAGATCAGGTAGGACCTGCCCTTCTGCAGTGACAAGCCTCAGGAAGCCTTGTTCAAAAGACTTCTGGGCCAAACGTTTCAGGTCCCCAACTTTGGAGGACTCCGCAATGGCAAAGCTTTTCTGCTTTCCACTTGGCAACGCTACATAGACTTGCAGCATCAAAGCAACAACCAAGAGCGACACTTTCTCTCACACTGTTTTGTTGTTCTGTATAAAATTGAGCCAAACTCACAGGAATGCTCTGACTGCATCAAATCGGCAAATTGTGGTGCTGACTCGGAGCATGAGCGTGTAGTAGGCTACACTTCAACCGGTTGGTGGTTGCAACCACCCTTGAAATATGAAAGTTTATTGAAATCATCATCCCACGTAAGATGTAAAAGATGTCAACCTGCAAGCAATGAGTTGATCAACAGGTGGTCTTGTCTATTTCAATTGAATCCTGATTCTCAAATTTTGATGGGGTTGTAGTAGTGCTTGAATACTCTTCAATAATATACATATATATCTGGAAGTCTGGAATGTCTTTTCTCTCAGGTGGATTGAACGGCCCCACTTTGCTGAAGGCGAGCACCATCCAACTCACCTTCCCAAACGAGTTGATTTTCGAAGGCTCCGGTCATCAAACAAAAGCTAGTTTGCTTGATCATATAACTCCACACAATAATAATAGTAGTAACAATAATTTAAAAAAATAATAATCATGATATATACTATAATATATATATATATATATATAAATATAATAATATATAATATAAACATATAAAATATAATCAGTAATACTTAATGCAAACTATAATCTATAAATATATATTAAAATATAAATGAATAAATATATATATATATATTTACAAAATAAACAAATATAATATATATTGAAAAAAGACAACATATATTTTTTTTTAAACATATATAATAATTAATAAAAACATAAGCATACATAATATATAAATATATATATATAAAATAAAATTTAAACATATATAATAAATTATAATCATAAAATAGTATTCAAAAAATCTAATAATATACAATGATATATATATATATAAATTAATAGATAATAATAAAAAAAACATATACACTAATATATACTAATATACAATAATATACAATAATGAATACTAATATACAATAATAAATAATAATATATACTAATATATAATAATAAATAATGGTATATACTAATTAAAAAAATATATAATAATAATACTAATAATATAAAATAATATACAATAATATATACGAATAAATACTAATATATAATAATATGTAATAATATATAATAATATATAATAATATATAATATTATATAATAATATATAATAATATATAATAGTATACAATAATATTTAATAATATTTAATAATATAAAATAATTTATAATAATATATAATAATATAGAATAATATATAATAATATACAATAATAAATAATAATATATGCCAATAAAATATATATATATTGATATATAATAATTAAACAACAATATTTAATAATATTTCAACATATATTATAATATATAAATAATAAAAAATAATAAATAATAAATAATAATAATAATTGATAATATATAGCAATATATAATAGTATAAAATAATATAATGATATATTTATAAATATATATATAACCAATAATAAAATAACAATTTAAAACATTAAAAAAAATATATACACTAATATATAATAATATATAATAACATATAATAAAAAAAATAAAAATAAACAACATAATCATAATAATATACAATAATACTATTTAAGAATATGTAATTTACCAGGTAAAATCGCAGTTTTAAGTCATTAACAAGGAAGCCCAGTTGCTTGAATCATCCACCAAAAATTCAAAAACACCAGCTAAATCACAGATTTCCTTCAGCCATGGGTAGGAAGAAATCTATGAGAAATCTGTGAGGTACGAAGGGACCTGTGAGAAGATCTGTGAGAAATCTGTGAGCGGATCTATGGGGGAGGACGGGACAGGTGAGAAGATCTGTCAGATTTGCGCGAGAAACTCTGCGAGCAATCCTGCCTTCAGATTTCTATGGGTGGTTTTTGGCGCATGGCCATTTGAATTGTTCAATGTCTGATTTTTTAATGATGTACATACATGTATATGTCTTAAATATATATGTATACATTTACATATACATATATCCGTTTAATCATGCAACATGATAGTATAAAATAGATGATTCCAATCTCACACATTCACTCAGACGGTCTAAACTAAAGCAAAAACAACTTACAGTTTTCTTGCACTTTCTTCTTACAGATTCTTCACACCCTTCCTCGCAGAAATAATTATATACTGTATTTTCAGTGTCCTCAGTGGTTAGCAGGGTTGGTAGACATAAATGTAATAACAATGATATATAACAAACATACTGTATAATAGCACAAATAAAAAAGATGTACATAATATATAATACATGACAGTAAATATGTATAATAATAATACTATCTAGTAAACAATAATAATAGTAAAATATATTTGATAATAGTAAACACAATGATAAGCATAAATTAATGATATTTATAAATAATAATAACATCTAATAAAAAAATTAAACTATAACAATAATAAGTTATAATGAACATATAATATAAATATAAATTATAATGTTATATAATGAGATCTACTTATATGATGATGTTTTGTTCCAGTATACACGTGATGAAACCAATTTGTAGCCAAACATTGTTCCATCAAGTTCCATGCTGCCTGTAAAGTGTGCTGAGTCAAATACACCTCGCGCGAACCACATTTTTTTGATGTCTAAAATTCAATACATAGACATATACATTGTAATTGTACATTTGCTGCTGAATTAATTTCCCTATCAATCCCCATTTCAAGTGCTAAAACCATAACAAGCCAATCTCTCAATTGATTCGAGGTCATGAAATCCCTGCAATAGATGCTTGACAAAGACTCATTTTTTCAAACATTGGGAGCTGTATCTATTTTTCCGCTAACCATCACATTGATGTAATCTATTGGTTTTCTTATGGTTCCAGCTACGGTTTTCCTACGGTTTTCCTATGGTTCCAGCCCTTCCGATTTCTCGTTCCAGCCGAACCTCCAGGTGACCTGCAAAATGGCCTTCTTGCTGTCGAACCTGGCGCGCACTACCGGAACTGGGGATGGCTTAAAACCTATGGAAATTAGCAGATGGAAACCCATCTGATATACATGTGCCCCTATGGAAAAATGTTTATACCAAACATATGGTAACTATATGGGTATACCAAACTATACCCATCTTATAAACTATGGGTGGTTTATGGAAAGCTATGGTAACCGATATCTAATAGATGGATTATCCAATATCATTTTCCGATATCCAATGATTAGATTAGATATCCAACTGATATCAATCATTATCTAGGATATCTGTATATCTACATATGGAGGTTTCAAAAAATAGGTGGTACCCCTTTCTATCATCCTAATTTTAGATTGGGATTCCCTGAAATAAACCATCCAGCTATTCGGGTACCTCCATTGAAACCCCCAGTCATGACTGGGGGGTAATAAAAAACCATTAACCAGTTATTTTATGGTGTTTACCAAGGTACCAGGGTTTTGAACCATAACCATATGTGAAGATACCATGTTAATCACAGCTCGATTCGCTGATGATATATCATGTTATCTGCAGTAAATGGAATCATATTTCACTCAACTGAATTAATTAAGGCCATTTGGGGATGATTTCGCTATATCTAAACCATAATTCCAGGGTTCGGTCGCAGTTGGTGATCCCCAAAATCCATTGGTTCATCCACATTCTCATTCACAAACAATTCGCCATATCTTGAAATGGGGTGATCCAAAAAAAACCTTGGCAATTGGTTGTTTCAAAAACCAAACTGGTGTACATGTGTGTGATGAAATATCATTTTTTGTTACAGATTGATAAACATATATGCCATCAAATGCCTTTTTGACATCATATGTAAATTTACGTATGATGCATCATCTACATATGATATGAATGGGGATTGTTGGTCAACAACTCATTGGATCCCCAGAACGGTGCCAAGTGAACAGAAAATAACAGGGGATCTCATCTGCAGATCCCACGCTGCCTGCCACCATTCTTCTTCTGGGCCGGCGGTCAAGGGCGACAATCAGTCTGATCAGGTCCAAAAACTGGTATGCACTATAAACATGTATAGTATAGTATATTATAATATATTATATTATATTATTATGTCATTATATATTCTTATATGGTATAGAATTATGGAGGGGGGGGTACCCCAAATCATGCAAGCCATTGAAACCCATAGTTTTGTGGGCCATCCTCTGCCACAAAAGTGAGTATCACCACGTCATTCACTGGGTATCCCAACTCGCTTGCTGTGGTACCATTTGGGCTGTGAAAATGACCATCAAAGTAGTAGGGGCAGTGGTAATCATCAACATTGGGTAGCCATACTTTGAGACAAACCTATTCATCTCAGAAGTCCATGAAATGCCATGAAAGAGCTATTATATATAAGTCAAAATAAGTCAATGGATATATAAAATTATATAAACACATCACCAAAGTGACCACCCTATCATCACATGAGTTGATGGAAAGTTTCTTAGTGAACCACCCAGGGATGCACATTGCAGAACCCAATTGAGTCTGTGCAGGTCCCCAACAAATAAGCTTGGTGAATCCCCAATTGTGTAGGTAAAATTCCCATGACTCAAAGAATCGGAATATACTATATATGGTTGTTGATCAAAATTCCTTTATCCCGGAACGGCAATTCTTCGCGAATAAAAATTTTACTTTCGCGAAACTTTAGCGAACTCCATGTTTATCTTTCGCGGGGCCCATGTTGGCCAACAACACCTCTTATGAAGATTCGTTCACCACCTGCCAAATTACGCCAGAGAATCACGGATCACTTCTTGGTAGCCTTTTAAACATGCAGCTAGCATCACGGAATCCCTTCCCAGGACAGATTTTTTTGCAAAGTTTACTGGCCCGCCCCCTTCAACATGCACTTTGACTTTCGCCCGCTCTTTCGCATAACTTTCGCGGAACTTTCGCGAAAATATCCCTATTCACAGACCCCGGCCATCAGCAGGGGGCGCACTGAAGGAGGAAAAGCGAAGACCAGGGGCCTTGGTGTTTGGCTCTCGCAAAGCCTCATTTTTGGAAACTTGGCTACTGCTACTCGCATTCTCTGGTGCCCTTCTCCTGCCGGACCCCGGGCGGTAGTGGGTGGCAGCCCTCTACATATAATGATTATAATGCCCAACTTTCGCGAAACTTTCGCGAAATAAAATTTTACTTTCGCGAACTCGAAAAAAAACTTTCGCGAGGGTTTCCAACATAACATGCACGGCTTTCGCAATTAAAACTCCTTACAAGGACCTTTAGATCGATCACCATATATAGATATATAAACAACAATTTCGCGCACTTGAAATGAGGCCATTACGAATGCCATTTAAGGAAATTAAGGATAGTTAGCCCAATCCTTACTGATCATCTTCCGAAACGTCGAAACCCGTCGTGGTTCAGCGCTGAGGAGCCGACCAGCTCAGGATCCCTGTCAGGGTCCAAGTCCTGGAGCCGGGTCCGAAAAAAGCACTGCAGAGTCCCCGCGCTGCCATAGCTTTGTAAATGGATATAATGTTAATGGATATTAATAATATTGGATAACATATAATTTGATGATATAATAATGGATATTTGATGATAATTTGATGATATAACATACTTTATCATTGAGTAAATGTTTTCATGATATAATAATCGATATTTGATGATAATTTGATGATAGCTGTCAGATGATATTTATGAATATTTATGGATCACCAGAATACCCTTGATCAATTTTAATGATATGTATAACCATAAATCATGAATATTTATGAATATCTATGGATATTTGATGATAATAGTAAACGCCATATTATAATATGATGCTGTATTTTAAGATGATCATAACATTATGGGTCAATTATACTATTTCACTAATCTGAAACTATGCTATTTTGGGATGTGTTGGGATAGTTAGCCCTTACTAAACATCATTCCAGTGACGTCGCAGTGAGGTCGTTAGTTAATCTATCCAGATAATATCTATCACCATAAATCATGGATAAAACAACACAATGGTTGCTACATAACACACAACATCCGTAACATGATGTAACATGTGTGTGTGTAATGGACAACCTGTTGCATAGTGAAATGTGTTTGGAGGATTACCATCCCCATGGGGATGTCTCTATCCCAGTGTATACCAGGCTTAGAAAACACGTCTTTTTTCAGAGTAAAAAGTGGTTCTCAACCATCCCGCAGTGTTTTTTTCGAAAACCTACAGTTTAACCATCTTTATTTGACAGTAACAAAAGCACCCTGGTTTCCTCTAGAAAAAAAAACTTAACAACACCCAGAAAAACCAAAACTCAGTGAAATCAGCATCCATCCGACCTGGTCTTCACTCTTCTCGCCACTCTTTAAGCCAGTCTGGCAGCCAGCGCCGGTACCACTTGTTTCTCCGAATGGGTCATGGGAAGCCCTGAGACGTGGAATCCATTGGGTGATGAAACCACCTTGAGCCACATACCTCTAGGGGTGCTCTCCAAGTCATATTGGGTTCTGGGTTCTCAATCTTTGAACACATCACCATTATTCTGATTGGTGGCAAATCATGGATTTCACACTTTGACCACCAAGTATGAAGTTGGTTGGTCAAGTAGCGCCTCTTCATATTTTGATGGCCAAAAACCCAACCCTGTTCCTTGGTTACTTGGGAGTGGCTGATGGCAACTCTGCCCGACCTCCTCATCAGTGCTTGCCATTCCGAGCACCTTGAGCCCAGGAAGCTCAGGAAGCCCAGGAATCCGATCGGAATTCCTTGAAGGAACAAACATCATGAGGTTTTACGCATCAGAAAACATGGTGATGCAAGTGATATGTAAAACATTATATATATATATATTATTATTAATATTATTATTATTATTACTATTATTATTGTTATTATTATTATTATTTTATTATTAGTATATATATATATAGAATTATATTGATACATTATTCTTGGTTTAGGAGACTAAGGGTGACAAAGGAGAAATCTTGCGAAAAACGGTAAAAAGGAATGTTCCCATCTTTGGAGTGTCATCGGAGTCATGGTGGAACAACCTACCAGCAAACATGGGGATACTCACACCAAAATCGGGATACCCTCTGGTAAACTAACATAACTATGGAAAATCACCATTTTTTATGGGCAGATCCACTATTTCTATGGCCATTTTCAATAGCAAACTGTTAGTTTACCAGAGGGTACCTGTGACGTACCATGGGGATACCATGCAAAACACAGCAACGCGGGATGGATCGATATTTGATGATCAATGCGTGGTTTCCTGTGTTTGTTTCTACATCCATTGGGATTGGTCCAACTGACTGATTCTGCTCTTAGTGACAAGGATTGAATCTTGGAACTCCTGATTCATTGTGATAGCTTCGAGTAATTATAGGAACGCCATCGAGTTTTTTTTTCAGTGCGGTTACCCATGCCTATGCTTGGAATCCGTAACGAACATTTGCCAAACACTGCAGATTTGCATGATGATCAGTAAATATGCGGCACCAGGCCAACTTGGGCATGGTCGGTCACATTTGGCTGGAAGATCCCAGAAAATCGATGATTTTCGCAGCCATGTTTGATGACACCGGAGGCCACGCATTTCACCATCTAAGCAGTCGGTTGCTCCAGCGATGAGATATTCAAGGCAGCATGGCTTAAGATTCGGTACACAACATGATTGGGAATGGTATGGAATAGTATGGAATAGATTGGAATACTAGTCATGATCAACAGAGATTAGGAATACTAGTCAGTAAAAATTGAACACATAGATTAAGTACCAATCATACCAATCCAAAAAGATTTAGACAATCTATGAAGATTTGAAACCCAAAGTGGGAATGGTATGGAGTGGTTCATGTAGTGTAACACGACGACTTGCCAAAGTATGCCAAAATCAGTAGGGGAGAGAATTCAATTTTGAACCGTTCCCGGCATATCTTCAGTAAACCATCGTCCCTCCTACACCAGTTGGTCATTTAATTTCCCACTCGCATCACTGGGGTCCGGACAGTTGGCTCTGCAATCACTGTCTCAACAAATTGGGACCAATGAAATTGGGATGAGTGGACGCTGCTGGAAACCGCAGCCCAAAGAGCGGCAGTATAGTTCGGCATTTGCAGTTGGGCGACATGGAATTCGGAATCAACACATGAACGATCAACTGGCTTGCGATTTCCGCCTATCCCCAAAAATAATCAAGCATATACTTATTAGTCGATTATCATCCCCAAAATGACTGAACGTGAACGAATCTTACGAATCTTCGAAGCCACCGATAAAAAGGAACGCCACTGTTGTTATCTATGTTGTATTCCATGTTGAATGCTTGAAAGCCGAAGCACCTCAACGGATGAACTGAATGATGTTGGAGCCTAGATTTCAAATCCTTTTTGGCCTAGCTTGCATCTCAATTCTTGCCTTTGTCAAGGCGGGAATGTCTTAGACAGTCCACCTTGAAACGCGCCCCGTTTCTGCTAACTACCATTGAAGTCTTGCCTACCTATTTGGGTCTTTTGCCAATGGAGTAGCACCTCACGAAATCATTGCCTCATTGATTAAATTAAACATCTCGAGAAGACCCCTCTTTGGACACCAACCCACTTGGTGCTAAGCACACCAAAAAAATCAGCGCATCCTTGCAACCCGCCACTGCGGAAGGGTGCCAGTGTTTCTTGAAGCGAAGCAACAAATAAAACAACCGACAAGACAAATATATAATTTGATTCTAAAACCCGCCAATAAATAACTAAAACGCCAATCGTTCCAAAAAAACAACATAAACACAACAAACTCAACAATCAGATAACTTATACTTAGGATACTTTCGGCCATCTTAAAAACAGCTCGCCTGACGCCGCATCTGGCGCTCACAGGTCAGGTTTGCGCTGTGTGGGATTCATCACCTTCACGACTGAGCGGCCCCAGGCCTGACAGCTGGCGAACAAAAAAGGGTGTTTAGAGCTGGGAAAAATACTATACCAAACATATCTTGAGATTTTTGAGATGATTTTTGGGCAATCTCTATAGCTAATCTATAACTTTGTTTTTCCATTGCCAAAAAAACATATTACAGATCTAAAAAACGTGATCTACTACTGTATATATACTTATCATACCTAAGAAGATGTGTTGATGATAATCACACGAATGATGATAGCACTAGTGATAGCTGTATAATGAGACATGGGATTCTTTGATAAAGCTGCTGTTTTTTTCCGGCAATTCATTTGGTGAAAGTCTGGGGACCAGTCCAGTTTGGCTACTTTATAATCCATGGAATACTTACACCTATAAAACATGTTAAGACAAACAACACGTGACAAACATTGTGAGTACAAGAGATGTCACCACTGATTTTGGTCGATGATTCATACTATCAACAGCCACGTGATGCATTTTCGTTAAAACCAATGGCCCAAGGGCATGGTTGAGAGATATGAAACTGTGAAATCTGACCTGCCTTCGACGCATGACTCAAGGCAAGCCTTTAGGTTATGATGATCCGAACGGGGGTTGAGTGTCCACGGAAAAAGGGTCAAAGCCTTGCTTGTTTGGGTTTGCTGCGGATTCATTGGTTTTATAGTGGTAGCGGAGCCCGGTTCGACCGGGCCACCCCTGATTTTTGGTTGAAACAATTTTGACCCTTTGGAAGTGGCACTTGACCCCCTTTCGGACTTCTTAGAACATGGCTTCACATGCCGTGCCGACGTCCGACGGAGATCTTGATGATCCACCTCCAAGTGCTTCACCAGCGAGCCGACGTGGAAATCCAGAGGTACAAGGTAGTGATTCAGAGGCCTTTGCCAGGTTTCAGCGCTTTTTGGCGATGGAACGTGAGGGTCGCATGAGTCCGTATAGACCTCGGAGGATTCGCGACAGGGATGAGGACGACGAGGACGACAATGGCGACTCCCGAGGTAGCTCGGGGCCACCGCCGACATGGGATGGCACCTCCTCGACGTTCGAGGACTACAACATCAAGGCCCGCCTGTGGCTGGCAACGACGAAGGCCAAGGCGAAGATGAGAGGCCCACTGCTGCTCAAGTCATTGACTTCAACACCATTCGAGGTGTACAAGCATTGGGCCAAAGACCCTCTATGGTTGCAGGACACCTCCAATGCTGAAAAGTTGCTGGATGACATGAACAGGCCTGAACGTTATGGAGATGATCAACAAGAACATATGTTGACCGCGATGTCAAGACTGACATACCATATCAGAAGGCAGAAGAATGAGGACTGGCGAGAATTTTTCGCCAGGTGGGATACAGCACTTCGTAAAGTGCACCAGCATCAAATCCAACTCCCTGAAGAGTACGAGGGCTTCTTGCTTGTCAACGGCCTGATGCTGACCGAGAACGAGACGAAGACGTTGATGAATTTTACCCATGGATGCATCAAGCCATCGTCAATCAAGAGCTGGCTGAGGAAGAATGAAACGACCCTCTCCGCCGCAGAGCTGGGAGCAGAATCGAATAAGAAGAAGACGAACCAGCTGCTCTACACCGTTGACGAGGACTTCACAGAGGAGACCAAGTCCGATTACGAGCAGGACTACCCGGACGACATCAAGGAGCTGGAGGCGAATTTGATGGACCTGCAGACCGACCAGGACAATGACGAGGTCATCTCTGAGGCTGATGCGGCCGAGATTTTGTCGACATACGTCTTGCAGAAAAAGAAGAGTTACGTTGAGTCACTCCGGAACAAGAAGAACAAGGAACTTGCCAGGGGCTACGGTGCAGGAAGCCGGAGCAGTACCAGCTACAGCAACCAATCTTTTGGCCGAGAACATCGAAGACAGAACTCTGAGGAGAGCCTGGCTGCTTTGAAGCGACGCACTCGGTGCGACCGTTGCCACCAGATCGGCCATTGGAAGCGGGAGTGCAAGAATGCTCCAGCCAAATCAGACCCTGGCAAATCTCACGAGACAAACTATCTGGAGAACACCAACGAAGTCTTCTTCGCAGGACATCTTGAGCTTGAGCCGCACCACCTGAGTGCTGACCCTGAGAACCGCCATTTTGGCGATGTAGCTTTGTGTACAGATTTTGATGTAGCAAACCATGGATCCGCAAACTCCGCAGTTTACATGGACAGTGACCAGGGTCGGGACATGCTTGATTTTTGTCATGATGTTTATGGTTTGTTTGATTTGGAAAATTGGATCTGTAATCTTACCAGCAAAAACATGGAAACCTATGATCACACGTGCGCCACCGTCGACACTGGATGTCAAAGGTTAGCTATCGGCGCACGAACCATGGAACTTTTTGGAGCCCAACTTCCAGTACCACTTCACATCACCATGTCCAAGTCCATCAATAAGTTCAGAAGTGTTCATCAAACATCCATCACCACCAAGATTGCCAACATACCATGCTCACTGGGAAAGCGGGGAAGTTTTCTGAAGCCAGCGGTATTTGAACAAGCCAATTCAATTCATGCGCCATTTTTGATTTCATTGAGTTTTCTTATTCACTGCAAGGGCTGCATTATTTTGGATCCGGAACGGGGCTTGGCAATTCAATTTCAAAATGGTCAACATGTGGTACCACTTCATATAGGACCATCAGGAGCACTTCGGATTCCACTTCAAGATTTTACTGAAGAACAAATTCAATGCCTTGAAGAACTGCAGGATTCCGACTGTCTGCATCAGTGTCAAGAGTTTGAGATTCTGAAACTTCAGAATGCCGAATGTCCAGCAGCAGTTAAAGTCTCCGACAACTTGTGCCCCTCGCACGTTCCTGACCAGGTCGATCGCCCCGTTAGAGATGGACCTGGGGAGCAACAAGCGCAGCCGTGCGACCGAGCCAGCACACCCAATCTCTTGGGCAGCGTGGTCGAGAATGGCACGGAAGCTGCTCTCAATCCTGATCCCCTTCAACATGATGATCGAGCGGATTCTTGGAGAACAACGCGAACTTTCGGGAGTTCTTCATCGTGCAGTGCAGAACATGGAGTTCGAGGACCTCAGGCAGTTCCACGAGTTCGTCGCGAAGGAGGTCAACCGCCGACTTCTCCCCAGCGGACGCAACATCGAGATCGAGGAGATCCTGCTCAGCGAGCCGGAGTCGGACTCGTTCACCCTCCTGACGGATCAGGCGTCGAGCACATCGCCGTCAGCATCGTCCAGCAGGGCCAGTCGGCAGAAGAAGACCAAGGCCAAGGTCAACAAGTTGGTGGACGAGGTGGACGGGATGGAGATCCTCTTTGGACCTCGACCAGAATGTCACTGCCGGCTTCCAGCAGCACTGCACATCAGCCACACCGAGAAGAACCCGGACAAGATGTTCTTCCGATGCCCGAAGGAACAAGGAAGCCAATGCAAGTTCTTCGTTTGGACCGAGAGCCAGCCATTCCTCGAACTGAACAATTGGAAGTTCCGACAACAACCTGGAGAAGATCCCAAGACCGACTACGACATCTTGACGGAGATCGTTCAGGAGAAGTGCAAGCACCAGAGGACCAATCGTCAAGGGACGAACCATCTCCGCGAGAAGGTGAAGTGCAGCACCTGCAAGAAACTCCTCTCGGACACGCCAGTACCAGCACCTTCGAACAAGCAGAAAGACAAGGAGAAGGAGTTCGCACAGTTCCAGGAGTACCTCAAGTGGAAGGAGACACGTCAGGGAAAGAACTGAAGAGTTTACCTCCCAAGACAGGGAGGAAAATTCGTGCCGCCTTGAAAAGAGCGGTAGCCTTTTGGCGTCAGATCCAGCTTCTTTTAGCTGATGATGGCAATCAAGGAAGTGCCACTGCGGATCTGATGCGGCGTATGAACCAAGAGATTTGCAATGAATTGCAACTGTCGCCAAAAGGGTCGAAAAGATCGCATGAAATCGCAGAGATCATGGGGCTCACTCACAAACAGTTGCGTGTGGTTGCTGAAATTTACAATCCGAATTGTTTTGGACCCCTCACACAAAAATTTGGATTGACACCTGGAAAAGCTTTTGATCTCACCCTCGGAGACAACCTGCTTGATAAACGCAAACAGAATGAGGTCATAGAATATTTAAGGCAGGTTAAACCAGGTTTGGTATTAATATCACCTCCTTGTCGGAGGCACTCTCAGCTGCAAAACTTGTCAAAACGGAAACGGGAAAACATGCCTGAATTGATGAAAGAGTATTTGAAAAAGAAACAGCAGAGCAATCAGCTCCTCATCTTCGCGATTGAGATTTGTCACCTCTGTCTCGAATTGGGAATTACCTTCGTGTTCGAGCATCCCCTTTCAGCAAGCTCCTGGAAACACCGTGCCATGGAGCGAATTCTCCGTTTACCGAACGTGTTCATGACCCGAGCGGATCAATGCTGTTATGGACTGAGAGGAGCTTCCGGATTATTACATCGAAAAGCAACAGGCTTCATGACCAACGATGAGAACATGTCACGAGCTCTTAGCCGCCGATGTGATGGAAGCCACCAACACGAAGCGATTATCGGAGGTAACCGATCCAGGAAGTCTCAGGAGTACCCGATTGACCTCAGAGAAACAATTCTCAAGACCTACAAGGACACGATCCAGACCGAGATCTACACGATGACCGTCGACGAGCTCTTCACGGAGAACGACAAGATCAACGAGCTGTTTCGACTGGAGTTTGAACTTTTACATCAAGGACCACTATCTGATAGCGATGAGCTCGACGAGATCGACCGGAGACTATTTCCTGGAGGAGAAGAAGGTGACAAAGAACAACAAGATGATCAAGAATGTCATAGTGACCAAGAACCTCAAGGCTCCCAAGTTCAACCTCGTTCCAAAGAACCTCTTGATCCTTCAGAATGTCCAGATTCCGGAAGAGACCTACAACCACCTGAAGGAGGCAAAGACTTACCTCTATCCGGAAGGTTCACTTTGGAGCGATTACTCCAACGAGCTCATGAAGGCCTAGGTCACCCTTCACTAGAACGGTTCCTGAGAATTCTCAGGTATGCCAACGCCAAGCCCGAGATCATCGAGCAGGCCAAGAAGATGAAGTGTAGTGTCTGTGAAAGACACAAACAAGTTAGACCAGTCCGACGAAGTGCACCTCCAAGAGAACTCAGTTTCAACGAATGTGTGGGAGTGGATGTGGTCTACCTGCCAACGTTTGACAAGAAGACGAGACCAGCCCTGAACATCCTGGACTGGGGAACCAAGTTCCAGCTGCTCATACCATTGCCTGGAAAGAAACCTCAGTACGTTAGAGAAGGATACCGTCACTGGCTACGCATCTTCGGTCCACCGAAAAGACTGGCCATTGACTTGGGCAAAGAGTTCAGGGGCGAGTTCGCCACTCAGGCAGAAGCTGACGGAAGCTACGTCGACCCATCAGCAGTTGAAACACCACAACAGAGAAGCCTGACTGAACGACATGGAAAGACTATGAAATTCATCCTCCTCAAGGCAATGGACACTGCAAGCTGTACGAACATGAAGGACTGGGAGGATCTCGTCAGCGTCTCATGTATGACGAAGAACCGAATGATGTCTGTGGGAGGATTCAGTCCGTGCCAAAGAGTCCTTGGATACAATCCTACAATTCCTGGCGGCATCCTTAATGGAGGACACAGTGAAATTGCCCAAACCTCTGGATCTAAGATGACGGACTTAGCAATCGAAAGATCCATGAAACTCCGCAAAGCAGCAGCACAAGCGTTCATTGAGGCGGACGCCAATGACGCGCTCAGAAGGGCGATTTCCAGCGGTCCGAGGCCATGGATCGACTATGAGATTGGCGAGCTAGTCTACTTCTACAGGATGGGCGCAGACAAGAAGCTCAAGTTCAGTCCTAGCTACTGGCAAGGACCGGCCCGGATTGTCATGACTGACCAACCCAGCACTATATGGCTGACACATAGAGGATTTCTGGTCAAGGCCAGTCCTGAAAGAATCCGCCGCGCCAGTCTTGAAGAGAACATGTCAATCTCCGGATGGTTGGAGGACATTGTCGGAGCCAAGAAGGACATCGCCACCGAGCCCTGCAGAGGTTATCTGGATCTATCAGATCATCCTCTACCTCCTGAAGAAGATCCCGGACCCGATGGAGTACCAGATCAAATGTCAGAGGGATACGAACCTTCTATTGCACCTGATGAAGCACTACAAGATGAACCTGAAGTTGCTCCACTACCAGCTGATCCTGAACAAGAACAGCCCAGCTACAGTATGCCAATCAAGCGACAGCGTGTCAAAGGACCACAACCTCTTGGACCAGTTGTACCAGCAGCTTTGGTACAGCCTGGACATCAGCAAGATGTGCAAGAAGATGAAGGAAGCGACAATGAAGATCATCAAGGACTGAAACGAGAACATGATCAAGAGGAGACTCAGGAAGAGGAGCCAAGATCGAAGAGATCCCGAACGGAATATCTCGAGATATACTTTACCAAGGTCGAGAACCTCTTGAAGAGCAAGCAGAAAAAGGAGATCAAGTACCAGGCCTTAGATGAGAGAAGCAAGAAGCGATTTGACAAGGCAATCAGAAAGGAGTTCCAAAACAATACAGACATTGGAGCATACCGTGTGCTCAGTGTCGAAGAATCAGCACAGGTCCGGCAACAGATGCCAGACAAGATCATGGAGAGCAGACTGGTTCTTACAGCAAAACCTCTAGAACCTCACGAAGTCGAACCAGCCCGCCAAGATGGACTCCTTCTTGATCAAGCCCAAGGAGATGCCGACAACGAACCATGTAAGGCAAAGGCTCGACACGTGATGAAGGGCTACTCAGAAGAAGGAGCTGATGACATCGAAGCAGCAACACCACAGGTGACCCGAGAAGGTGCACTTACAGTGGCACAGCTCATTGCAAGCCATCGATGGCTTTTGGGATTTTTGGATTTTACGCAAGCGTTCCATTCTGGAGATCAAATTCAAAGACTGCTTTTTGCAACTCAACCTCGAGAGGGAATTCCAGGCCTAGCACCATCACAACTATTGAAACTGGAAAAGGTCTGCTATGGACTGACTGACGGACCGCTCGCCTGGTTTATTCATCTCAAGAAATTCTTGACAGAAAAACTCCATTATCAGCAATCTCTGGCCGACCCGTGCATCTACTACAAGATCAACGAGAATGGAAAATTGAGCGGCGTCATTGCAGTGGCTACCGATGATCTACTGCATGGAGGAGATGAAGCCCATTTAGAGGCAATGGAGGAAATCAAAAAGAATTACAAGCTTGGGAAATATCAATTTGGAAAAGGGAAATTCACTGGAAAATATTTTGAACAACAGGAAGACTTCAGTATTGTGATCAACCAGGCCCACTATGTCGCTGAGAAGCTCTTTGACATCCCCTTGGAGAAGAGCCGGAAACGTCAACGATTCAGTATATGCACCGACAAGGAGATCTCAAATCTCAGAGCGAGCATTGGGGCATTATCTTGGCTTTCCAAGGAAAGTCGACCCGATCTAGCCGGACGAGTGGCACTACTCCAACAAGCCTTTCCAAAGCCACGAGTCAAGGACTTGATTGAGGCCAATGCGATTACCACCGAGGCACGTAGATATCCCGACAGTGGCATCAAGATAATGCCCATCGAACCACAAAATCTACGAGTTGGAGTCGCAACTGACGCCTCTTGGGCGAATTACAGAGACAAAGAATATCTGGAAAACACGACCTCCGACTACTGGGAAGAGACTGCTACGCATTGGATTCGACATCACACCTCACCGAGGTCAACACTATTTCATCCTGGAGCCGCAGAAGGTCCTGACCTACACCATCTACAACCAGGACGTCGAACAGTCGACAGCACTGGCCGAGTTTTGGAAGACGAGTGGACCCGTGGCAACAGTATTCGTGTGTGGAGTGCTGATCACTGGACAGGAAAAACCTATTTTGGAAAACAACCACCAGGACATGAATTAGCAGCTACCGAAATCAATGAAGTGTTTCTGAAACTTCTGAATTGTAGTAGTCAAGGAGGATTTGTGATGATGTTTTATGACAAAAGAATGGAAACTGAGAAGAAACCACATATGGTATCCGTCACTGCCTGGAAGTCAACAAAACTGAAACGGAAGACAGTCAATACTCTCAGTGCTGAGTGCCAAGCACTCATTCAAGGTGTCGGACAAATACATTGGCATAGATTTTTATTACTCGAACTTTTAGGCCACGATCTTGCAAACCACGAATGGGAGCGACATTTGACCAGCATTCCCTATGTCTCGGTAGTCGACTCTCGATCCTTATATGATTGCATCAACAAGTTGGTTTGTACGTTTTCACAAGTAGAAGACAAACGTACGGCAATCGATCTGGCAATTCTCAAGGACGACCTCAATCGAACCAGCGGCTCTCTTCGCTGGGTAGCTGGTACCAACATGATTACCGATCCAATGACCAAACGTATGTCATCTAATTTCCTCAGGTATGTTTGCAATCATGGATTCTGGTCCCTGTCCGAAGAAGGCTATACAAAGCAGCGTGAAGATCACGATCTGCTCTTGGTCATGCTTACTCAATAGAGTAGAGGCGGTGTGAAATCTGACCTGCCTTCGACGCATGACTCAAGGCAAGCCTTTAGGTTATGATGATCCGAACGGGGGTTGAGTGTCCACGGAAAAAGGGTCGGGTTTGCTGCGGATTCATTGGTTTTATAGAAACATTATATACATCCCTTACACAGTCCACACATATTATGTTTTAATTATACATTCTTATGATATATTATGTGGCATAGATGTTTTTTGACTGTGACAAGGACGCCAGTTACGCCCTATGACAAACACTATCTTTGGAACGTCTGGGAAGATAACCGAGGCACACCAAGACCCAAATTACCGGATGTGCAACTTGAGTTTCTCCAATCTTGACTATTGGGCTTCAGCCATCTTACGCCATTCTATACAACACAGTTTCACACAGCATTTCCGTTGACTATCATGTGGTTAGGAAACTCAATTCATAGCTCCTGGCTCCGCAATGCGGGGAATTTGGTGCCATAACCAGAATCTAATCACCGCTTCCTCCATTCAGCCCGGGATCAGAAACCCCCACTGGGCCATCCCAACATCCTTGGTATAAACCACCTTATCTCGATGGAAGGTCCGACCTTGGCCGGCGGGATATCCAGCTGCTGGTGTTGCTGATGTTCAATCCTATAATTAGCTGCAAAAAAAATGTAGAAACATATAACTTACCACCGATTTGGACGCATTTTAACTATCATTTATCGATACCACTGCATGTTCATCCCAAAAAAATTGGGAGCTCCCAACTTTCGCCAATCCCCCGTTCCGAGACAGCACTGTGCCACTTGGACGTCCAGCGTTCAAAGTCCACGGGGAAGACCCGGGTCTTCTCATCATCCGTCGGCTTCGAGGTATCAACGGCTTCCTCCTGCACCACCACCTTTACCTTCTTTTCAGGCTTCTGCTCAATCACCTCATGGGGTGAACAGTGGGTGGAGGTAGATGAATCTACCAGGGGGGATACGTCTCTGGTGAACCAGAAACCAAAAAACCCAACAAAACATGGCCATACAATGGAGGTAGGCAAAACCCATTTTGAGACGCCCTTGCTGCAATGTTTCTGAAATTGAGAGTTGAGAACCTGCAAAGGTGTAAAAAATACCCTCTGGTAATTTATAACAGTTTGCTATTGAAAATGGCCCATAGAAATAGTGAGTTTTCCCATTAAAAAAATTGATTTTCCATAGTTTTTTGTAAATGTTTACCAGAGGGTAACAGTAAAAACCAGCAAAGTCCCCAACAAAAATCCGCAGCACCTTGGCCTAGGGATCATACCCCCAAGATTTTGGTGATATCTCCCATGAAATATCCCCGTGACATCCCACGAAATCCTCTGAAATCAACATGAAAACCAATTCAATCCGATTTACATCATTTCAAAATCCATTTCAAAATCCATTAGATCCCATTAAATCCCCAGTAAAATCCCAATCAATTCCCATGAAATTCCCAATCAATGCCATTAAATCCTACTGAACATCCCATGACATGCGCCATCTCCAGGGCACGACGTTGGGCGTCCCGGGACGATGCTGAGACGTCTCCTCGTCTTTGTCATTTTCGATCACCTGCCAGGTCGATGTCCGAGTAGGTTGGCCCAGGTGGGCTACCAATTCTCTATATCTATCTATCTATCTATCTATCTCTCTATCTTTCCATCTATCTATCTATCTATCTATCAACCTATGTATCTATCTATTTATCTATGTATCTAGCTATCTAGCTAGCTATCTATCTAGCTATCCATCCATCTAGCTATCTATCTATCTATCTATCTATCTATCTATCTATCTATATATTTATCTATCTATCAACCTATTTATCTATCTATTTATCTATCTATGTATCTAGCTATCTAGCTATCTATCTATCTATCAATCTATCTATCAAACTATTTATCTATCTATTTATCTATCTATCTAAGTAGCTATCTATCTATCTATCTATCTATCAACCTATTTATCTATCTATTTATCTATCTATGTATCTAGCTAGCTAGCAATCTAGCTATCTATCAATCAACCTATTTATCTATCGATTTATCTATCTATGTATCTAGCTATCTAGCTAGCTAGTTATCTATCTATCTATCCATCAACCTATTTATCTATCTATTTATCTATCTATGCATCTAGCTATCTAGCTAGCTATCTATCTATCTATCTATCAACCTATTTCTCTATCTATTTATCTATGTATCTATCTATCTATCTATCTATCAACCTATTTATCTATCTATTTATCTATCTATGTATCTAGCTATCTAGCTAGCTATCTATCTATCAACCTATTTATCTATCTATGTATCTAGCTATCTAGCTAGCTAGCTATCTATCTATCAACCTATTTATCTATCTATATATTTATCTACCTATTTATCTATCTATGTATCTAGCTATCTAGCTATCTATCTATCTATCTATTTATCTATCTATGTATCTAGCTATCTAGCTAGCTAGCTATCTATCTATCTATCAACCTATTTATCTATCTACCTATCTATCTATCTATCAACCTATTTATCTATCTATTTATCTATCTATGTATCTAGCTATCTAGCTAGCTATCTATCTATCTATCAATCAACCTATTCACGTCGCTTCGCGACGGCAACCGCCCGCACCGCATCGTTCTCTTCTACTGCCATTGTTCTCTTCTATTGCCGTCGCTCCGCGACAAGAACCCCTGTGCGGCCGCCACGGTTTGAAGTTTGAACGATGTTGTTCTCACACCTTCGCGACCGCTCGTAACTGCCAATGATGTCGGCCATTGAGACCAAAAACATCCGAAAGTACTGATTGTCGGAAAAAAAAAAACGCGAAGAATTTGATAGCCATGTATAGCGGACCAACGCAGTTCAAAAAATAACGAAAAACATGAAAAAACGGCGAAATTGCTGTTATTTACAGTGTTTTTGCGCGGTGAGAAGCAGAAACCACTGCAAATACCATGGTTTTTGAGGGTCAGGTGGCCAAAAACACTGTAATTTACAGGGTTTTTTTAACCAACGTCAAAAAACACTGGTATTTACGATGTTTTCATTCACACCGTAACATAAAACAGCGTAATTTACGAGGTTTTTGGAAGTTTTGAAGCTAGCCGTCAAGCATGCAGAAAACAGAAAAACACTGTAAAAACCAGTGCTTCTGCTATCACAAAACGACGAAAATCAGTCCGAAAACGGGTCCAAAAACTCAAAAATCCGCCTCCGGGCCCGGCCACCTGCGGAACCGCAAAAAAAGATGTTGCAAACCAAAAAATTGAGGTCAAAAAGTTGAAAAACACGTTTTTTTTTTTTCACTTTTCGCTTGCCGATTTTGGACGGGCGCGTTCACGAACAGGTGTCTTCCGTACTGTTTTTTACAGTGTTTTTTGAAGGCGAGCGTCACGACCTATCAAAAACAGGAGGTTTTGGCCGAAAAAATGCCCCCCCCCCCAGGTAAACCTGTAACCTTTTACGAGTGCCATCCGGACGATCACGCCCCAGCACCTTCGGTGCGGGCGGATTTATCTATCTATTTATCTATCTATGTATCTAGCTATCTAGCTAGCTAGCTAGCTATCTATCTATCCATCCATCAACCTATTTATCTATCTATTTATCTATCTATGTATCTAGCTATCCAGCTAGCTAGCTATCTATCTATCTATCAACCTATTTATCTATCTAATTATCTATCTATGTATCTAGCTATCTAGCTATCTAGCTATCTATCTATCTATCTATCTATGTATCTATCTATCAATCAACCTATTTATCTATCTATTTATCTACCTATTTATCTATCTATGTATCTAGCTATCTAGCTATCTATCTATCTATCTATCAATCTATCTATCTATCTATCTATCAACCTATTTATCTATTTATGTATCTAGCTATCTAGCTATCTAGCTATCTAGCTATCTATCTATCTATCAACCTATTTATCTATCTATTTATCTATCTATGTATCTAGCTATCTAGCTAGCTATCTATCTATCTATCAACCTGTTTATCTATCTATGTATCTAGCTATCTAGCTATCTAGCTATCTATCTATCTATATTTTTATCTATCTATCAACCTATTTATCTATCTATTTATCTATCTATGCATCTAGCTATCTAGCTAGCTATCTATCTATCTATCTATCAACCTATTTCTCTATCTATCTATGTATCTAGCTATCTAGCTATCTAGCTATCTATTTATCTATCTATTTATCTATCTATGTATCTAGCTATCTAGCTATCTATCTATTTATCTATCTATGTATCTAGCTATCTAGCTAGCTATCTATCTATCAACCTGTTTATCTATCTATGTATCTAGCTATCTAGCTATCTAGCTATCTAATTATCTATCTATCTATCTATCTATCTATCAACCTATTTATCTATCTATTTATCTATCTATGTATCTAGCTATCTAGCTAGCTATCTATCTATCTATCTATCAACCTATTTATCTATGTATCTAGCTAGCTATCTAGCTATCTAGCTATCTAGCTATCTAGCTATCTATCTATCTATCTATATATTTATCAGCTACAGAAAAAAAAAAAAAAAATAAAAAAAAAAAAGATATAAATACAAAACAAAAGCAAAAAAACAAAAAAAATAAACAAAAAAAAATGAAAAAAAGTAACTGATAAAATCTATCAACCTATTTATCTATCTATTTATCTATCTATGTATCTAGCTATCTAGCTATCTATCTATCTATTTAGCTATCTAGCTATCTAGCTATCTAGCTATCTAGCTATCTAGGTATCTATCTATCTATCTATCTATCTATCTATCTATCTATCTATCTATCTATCAACCTATTTATCAATCTATTTATCTAGCTATCTATCTAGCTATCTATCTATCTATCTATCTATCTACCAACCTATTTATCTATCTAATTATCTATCTATGTATCTAGCTATCTAGCTATCTAGCTATCTATCTATCTATCTATCAACCTATTTATCTATCTATTTATCTATTTATCTATCTATGTATCTAGCTATCTAGCTATCTAGCTATCTCTATCTATCTATCTATCTATCTATTTATCTATCTATCTATGTATCTATCTATTTATCTATCTAGCTACCTACATAAGGAATCATCGGGTAAATGTGTCTGATTCGTTATGCCTAGACCCACTTAAAATCTCAGCGACCAACGTCCTCCACCATCTTCGCCTCGAAGACGGCGGTAAACCTAGACCTGTTCGGCCGAGATACTGACAGCTTGGTGACTTTAGCCCCATGAATTGGTCTATAGCCCCTATAATTGTGGCCATATTGTGGCCATATATCCACTTATTAATTGGATATTTCTTGTCTTTAAGACTTAAGACTTTAAGACTCAGGCTGAAACCTGGCAGTTTCGGGAAGATAGTTGAACCACCACCTCACTTGTTGCTTCATAAACCCAGCGAAATCTTGACATCTCCACCGTAAACCCTGGTTAAATGAGTTGAAAGCCTGCCCGGCAACTGGCAATGTCAGACTATGGCAGTCAAAATCCACCAGGCAAGCTGCTGTCAATGCTTTCCACTTAGGCCTAGCATCCACCCACCCACCCACCCACCCACACACCCACCCACCAACCCATCCATCCATCCATCCATCCATCCATCCATCCATCCATCCATCCATCCATCCATGCACATAAGTCTATATATATATATATGTATTTAATATAATTTAATCATATATTGTGATATATTGTGTGTATTACATACTATATCATACTATTGTTTCATGCATATGTGTTCCCCACCTGCCAGGTGAGGGTTGTTAGATTTTATGTCAGTTGCCTGCTCCTCTCCTCCTCTCCTCTCCTCCTCTCCTCTCCTCCTCCTCCTGCTCAACCGCGACCCTCGACGCACAGTGTTCTCTGTCGGACCTCAACCACGACCATCCACGCCCAGTGTTCCCTGCCGGACCTCAACCACGACCATCCACGCCCAGTGTTCCCTGCCGGACCTCAACCACGGCCATCCACGCCCAGTGGTCCCTGCCGGACCTCAACCACGGCCATCCACGCCCAGTGTTCCCTGCCGGACCTCAACCGCGAGTATCCACGCCAAGTGTTCCCTGCCGGACCTCATGTAGGAAGATATGGGACAAACAATGTGCAGAAGAAAGTTAGAAAGAATGTGCACCGCTGGACCTCAACGGCCAGATAGAATGCCAGAAGATATGCCAGATAAAATGCCATGAGATATGCCAGATAGAATGCCTGAAGGTATGCCAGAAGATATGCCAGATGGTATGCCAGATAAAGTGCCAGAATGTTTGCCAGATAGAATGCCAGAACATTTGCCAGATAGAATGCCGGATAGGATGTCAGAAGATATGCCAGAAGATATGCCAGATAGAATGCCAGATAGAATGCCAGAAGATATGCCAGAACATATGCCAGAAAATATGCCAGATAGAATGCCAGAAGGTATGCCAGATAGAATATCAGATAGAATGCCAGAAGGTATGCCAGAATGTTTGCCAGATAGAATGCCAGAAGATATGCCAGATAGGATGGCAGAAGATATGCCAGAACATATGCCAGAAGATATGCCAGGTAGAATGCCAGAAGGTATGCCAGATCGAATGCCAGAAGATATGTCAGATAGAATGCCAGAAGATTTGCCAGTAACAAATCGATAAATGTCATGGTGGGGATCACACGAAGTAAAGTAATTTTGATTTTTCATGATACATTCCACATAAATTTCCACATCATCCATGGATCATCCATGCAAAAATCCATTGGGAGTCCCCACTTGAAGCGTCCCGTAGGGAAGTTCACCCTTTGGGCTGTCATCACACCTGGGTCCCCTGGGTCCCCTATGGTCCGCTGGGTGGTGCCCCTAGCGGCCCTAGCGGGATTGATGGATGTTTACAGCACATCTAAATATGGTATTATGATGTATGGCATGTGGGTTAATCCAAAATCCATTGGGTAATTATGGTACCCAATGGTACCCAATTATTGGGTCAAAACTAAGTATTACAAAACTGTTGACCCAATCCAAAATCGCCAAATGACTTGAATTTGCTTGTTCATGTGGGTTAATTATATAAAATGGCCACACATGACATCTTCATCCAAGTCATCATCTTGATCAAAATCGAACACATGTTTCAACTAACTCACCATCTGGATCGAAACAAATGGCACAGTGCATGTGGTTGGGCATGATCCATTCGTTTTCTACATGGAGATACCATCCATTGTCACAGGTCATGTGTACAGGCAGGCCTAGGTGATTGCCAGGTGTACCAGGCGTTGACGAGTCTGGAGAGGCTGTTCTAAGGTGTTCTGAGTCTGTACAGTAGCTGTTTCTGAATAAAAACCATACCACAATCATACCATGCCATGCCATGCCATGAAATCCCATACCATGCCATACCATACCTACTTTGCCGTCAGTTTCCACATTATCGCAAGACTTAACGATTCCCACTTGCAAAAGTCAAAAAGGTTATTTCCTAATTATTGCTGGTTGGTGGTTTCACCCCTACCCCTCTGAAAAATGATGGAGTTCGTCAGTTGGGATGATTATTCCATTCCCAATATATGGAAAGTCATAATCCAGTCATGTTCCAAACAACCAACCAGATATATTGTTATTCCAATGATTGACCATAGATTAACCATAGATTAACCATAGATTAACCATAGATTAACCAGGAAAAGTCATGTTCCAGTCACCACCAACCAGATTGCGTTTACCGTTCCTAGGGCACAGCCTTGGTCTCTTTTGGCCCCTGAGACGTGCCTTTTTTGCACTTCCAATAGGGGATGGCAACCCCGACAAAGTGTCATCAAACATGGCTGGCTGGGACTTTTTCTATCATAAAAGGATATGTTTTCACTATATATATATATACATTTAATTTATAATTGTATATAGAGGAAACATCATCTGTAAATGCTGGATTTTCTCCATGCCTTTATCCATGCCTTTCTCCCTGCCGAAACTGAACCGAGTCACGGGAATCATCCTCTGAATAGTAGGAGTAGTCCTCATCATCCTACGAGGCATCGGTTCCAAGCTGAAGGCGCCGGCTGGGTTACCGGTTGAAACATTCGTTTGTTGAAACGAATTTTAAGGAGAACATGTTGAAACCAATCCGGGGTAATAGGGGAACTGAGTAAATTCGTTTTTTAAGATGTTGAAGCAAACATATTTAAACATGTTTAAACGAAATCAAAAAGATTGTGGACCCAACCGCATGAGATCATGTGCACTTGCAGAATCAAGCACTGAGAAATCTGCTGCTAGTGATTACTCAAACCACGCATTTGGGACATGTTCAAAGAGCCCCACAATATATATCTGGGTAAATTGTAATATTTCACTAACCTGAATAGTTGGGCCATTTGGGGATGATTTCCCTTATTAACCATGATTCCAGGGTTCGGTCGCAGTGAGGTCGTTATAATTTACCCAGATATATGTTTCAACGTTTTAAACGCCTTCCATGCCTTCCAGCTACCCCAGTCGTCACCATGGGTTTCAATACTAAGCCATGGTCATCCATGACTTGGATGATAACTGGGGTACTCCTATATATAGGAAACCCCCCATTTATGGGATGATTTGGATCCCATAAAAATGGTAATATTGGGTTCATGAAAGTTGGATTGATGATTGATGCATCTAAATAGCAATACATTACTGGTTGGTGGTATACCTACCCCTCTGAAAAACATCAGTCAGTTGGGATGATTAACCCAATATATGGAAAAAAAATCCAAACCACCAACCAGATTAAGTAAGACATGAATACATGATCCGAAAAGAGAGAAGGTAACTGTGCACTTGTACGATAATTTTGCCCGGAAAACCCGGGACCTGTTCAATCTTTACCAGTCATGTAAGTGGGAATCCAGCGCAAAAAGAGAATATCAAGGCCCCGCAAAAAGAACGAACGAAATGCTGTCCTCGTACTCGTCATCATCGTAACCTTCAAGGTCACACAGGAGGTGTGCAAACAAATCACATCATAGTATTGACTGGCTGGTGATTCTTCACTTGGCAATGCCCAATCAAATTCCTGACGTTCAGGAGGTGTAATCTAAGAACCCAAACTATGGACACTAAACAGATTCCAAAGTAATTCAAGGATACTAAGAACAATCTTTAAGATTCTATAAATCAGTTTCCTATAGTGATTCTAGGTGTCACCTACGGATCAGTTTGGCTAAGGACCATAGAAACTGATGCTTTGGTACCAGTGTCCGAGGGCCCGAACCCTGCATCATTCCAGGGATGGCCTTAGCATGGGCAGCGTAAGGGTCGGTTTTTGTGTTATGTTTTTGCCGTTTATATATGGTTATTACTAATGATAATTATTATGGTTATTACTAATGTTCCAGTCACCACCAACCAAATATATTGTTATTCCAATTATTAACCATTATTAACCATAGATTAACAATTATTATGATGACAATTATTGTTAAATTACTATTATGATTATGACGATGCGTAAGATTATTGTTCATGCTATTGTTGGTTGTTGTTGAAGTGGTAATATTGTTCATACTGCTGATGATAATGATATTGGTCCAATTGAGTTATCTCAAGTTTTAGGTCCGACCCTCCTGAACAAAATCGCCAGGTGGAGCCATCATCAATCATCTAACAGCGCCTGGAAAGAGGGGCCTCATCAACCCGTGGGAAAAGGACATCTACGCTCTGGTT